GGCCCTCTGAACAGAATAACAGGATTGGCTATCACTTTTATAACGCGGCTCAAGTTTAAAGTGCGGAGCGTGTTTAGGAGCATCACATCTCGAACCATAGAATTTTCGTTTGCAACTCGACACTCTAACTACTAGGCCACGACCGACTCATTTAAGTTTTATAGAAATTTGTTACAAAATATGTTATCTATGCTCTTACTACCACGGGGAAGCAATCCTCGGATTTTGGGGGCGTTGTAAGTCCGATAACTTACTACTAATTCACTCTAGGACTTTATATCTCGGATATTTTCCTGTCTTTCACAAAGGTGAGAAAGAGTTCATCTTCGAATAAGTTCTAGGTAGTTTTCCTACTAAAACTTTTGACAGAGGCGTTCTGTCCCAGTTAGAAGGGTGTAGGTGATGTACTTTTTCCAAACCTACAGTATTTCCGAAAATAAGTAACTTACCCTAAGCATAAAAACGAATTTAGCTGACTGAATTATAATTAGAAACAAAATGCGTAACAATTTAGTTTCAACAACAACAAAAAAAAAAACTCTAAAAGTAATAATAAATTAATTCGAATAAAATTAATATGACGACACCTGTTTTATAAGAGAATTTCATTCAATTTATTTTTTGTTTTTACAAACAGTTTTTAAAACTTTTAGAAATTTTGTTACTTAAATCATTAAATGTCAAAAGTGTTATAAAGTATAAGGGCAGACAGAAACGTTGACAACAACTTGAGAAGATACTCATAGTTAATAGGGGCTGGGAGTGGCCTAGAAGTTAACGTGCCGGATTGTCGATCCGGGATTCCACAATTTGGTTCCATTGCTTCAAGAAAAAAGGAAGAAGAAAAACAGCGCGCTACGTACATTGGAGCCTTGGGTGTTTGATGAGTTCACAGTCAAGTCCCACTATTCGATTATAGTAGTACAAAAGTTGGCGGTGGGTGTTGTTGACTAACTGCCTTCCCTTCAGTCTATCAGTTTAAAATTTAGTGACGGCTAGTGCAAATGTATCGGTTTATTGTTCCAGGAAAGTGGTTGGCTGTCAAATCCTATACTTTAGATCATAATCAGTTATAATGGATACAGAATCTTGGGATGATTGGCCAAATCGATATATTAGCTCATTTGTATTGTTCTTTTTAAAATTACGAATAACGGAGATACTTTTTGGATATAGTAGTGTCAAGTAATAATTGCAATAAATTTTTTATCATAAAAACGACATTGAAGATAATGTAGTTATCTTAATAAACAGATGATCAACAAGTTTTTAAATGAAAAACAATGAAATGTGTGATTGTGCAATATCAGAGGATACGCCGTGTATTGACATAGAGAATCTACACAGCTCGTAGACATTTTTACATAGTGTTAAAATTTATATGTTAAGTAGAGGGCGCATGTGTTAAGATAGTTACGAAAAGTGTGTAGTTTGTTTTCAAGATAGTTTTTTAATAGTTACTTTATCATTTCATGCAAGTATGATGATTTAATTTTAATTTAGACCATTATTGTTAGGCCTATAACAATCTACGACTGTGTATAAATGCTCTAGCTTGTAGAAACGTTAAAGGAAGAAATCAATTAATTTGTAATATAGTTTAAATGGACGAGATTTTTGAAATTTTGAATTATTTTCACCAGATAACTTAAAAGAACCCGCTAACGAAAGAACGTCATTACAATATCATCGTCTAGCTGGAAAAGGGCAGAAACTCTGAGAAAGGCCGAGATAATTGTATAGAATAAGTTGTGCAATAAATTACATAAAGAACATTATATTTTTATAACATAAATTAGTTATGTGTGTGTGTGCAACTGTTTTTAAGATAACATGACAACTATTCCACAAGTTCCAGTATCAGGTTTATTTTTGGATGCATTATAAATCTATATATAACGTTTTAATATTTCATTACTTATTTGAATCAACACAAAACTGTAATTTTTGGGAAGTTTGAATGGAAATACCTTTTGTTCATGGTAGTACAAAATTCCAAATTCTCATGACACAACTCTAGAGGAGGACGTGTTCGTCCATGGCAGTGAAAGGGTTAAGGCCATAAATTCCTTTATTAAGTCATAAGCTTTTGAAAATATTAATAGAAAAATATATGTGACTTTTGAGGCAGTATTAAAGACTGCTACATTTCAGATTAGAGAACATGAAAATACTGACTAGTAACTGTTGCCTTTTTGGTTGTGTGTTATTGCTTGCATGAGCAAGCTTATTAAATGGAAGTCAGAAAAGCAAATAAACCCGAGGAGATTACATGAAGATAACTACCAGGATGTTTCTTTCCAAGTACAGCAATTTTATCAACTTTTCCATATTGATTTGTACCTGCATGAATACTTTCCTATTTCGTTCAGTATTTAGTTATATAACCGTAGTGTTAGAATATAAAAACAATGGAAATAACAAGTGAGAATAGGCTGTACAGAAATTTATAGGTGAACTATCAAACAATAAATTTCTTGTTCCATGGTTTTTAATCATCTAACTACCACACTTGGGCAAAATAATCATTAAATACCAGGGAGAGTATATTTTAATTTAAGTATCATTCAGATAGGGATAACAATTATAAGGCTAATAACAGATGGAGTTTCACAGAAACTTGTCATTTGATAACAATCTTTTTACTTTCAAGAAAAAACTTGTACACCATACTTATTAGCTGCTATTCTATCCATAGTGATTGAAAGAAAATTAGTAGTGGGTTTTCAACAGCAAGTCTTTAACTTCCTGGTTTTCTATACAAGATAAATATTTTTAAAGAGTACACAGTGATTAATTAAGATTATATTTGGAATGAAAGAGATACGATTCATATAATGGTATGTTAATAGAAAAACACTGAAATTATGTAAAATGTCAGATGAGATTACATATTTTCAAAACAAATAAATCATTATCAGTATTTTAGATAAAGATTTGTTTTGTTATGTTAAGCACAAATCTTAAATAGAAGGGCCATCTTAGATTATTTTTGAAAGTGACCATATGTCTATTATTATGAAGAAAAACAACTAAAAAATTAAGGCCACAAATATTTAAACTGTTTAGCAAATATAACATTTTGGATTAAAATGGAAACGTATGACTCATCCATTATACGAGGTTTATTCATTTTTAATGAAAAAGCTCCTTTTCAAAAAGACAAATGCACAACTTTGATGATATGAATAATTAATAAAAAAAAACTTCATGCACACAAAACAAATTATATTCACATTTGCAAATGTAAAACAATTATTCTAAACCTTGTCATAAATTATAATGCCATATTTCACTTCACACTTGATTGTGTGGCCTAACTTCCGACATTTTTAAATATACAAGTATTGAATGATACAAATAAACCTAGCTGTGCTTTAAAGCATTTACCATATATAAATTATTAAGTAATATCACAGTTAAGTATGTACCTGTGTAAGTCAACAACAAAATGAGTGGAAAATCTTCAACTTATTCAAGTCAACTTTTACATTAAAAACAAAAACTTCTACTGTCTCACTGGTTCTTCCAGGATCGAGAATTGAACTGGCCATCTAACCTGTAAAACTTTGCATTCTCTTAGCAAGAAGAAAACATTATCATTAAAAAAATAAAGAAAAAAGTTCTCTTTATTTTATCAAACATGAATAAAAACATTTTATTTAATAGCAAAGTTATTAAAATACAAGTTTACTAAATATTTTCTCCCTAATGAATGAAGAATTCAATATTATTCGAGAAATATTAGATATGGTTATTCAGGTTATTACCTTCTACCTTTAAAAAACAAAAACATTTCAACTTTTTTTTAAGTATGAGTGACATTTTTACTTTTATTTATAGTTTAATCACTAAAAACTACAATGAAATTTCTTTAACTAAATTCCTTCTCAGAGGCATTTTACAATGACTGCTATAAGAATGGTGTTCTGATCTTCATTTAAGGGTTATTTTATGTAAAATCTTCACAGACATAACAGTATCAGTTCATGGAAAATCTGCCTTAACTTGTACAACACTTAATTTGGTAAATCATTACCATTCTCATAAATTCATATTTACTACAAATATTAAAATAAAGCTCGTTTGCTTGCTCTCACTCTCTCTCTCTCTGATACATAGTTTCTTTGAAACTCCCTTTTTTATTTTAAATATGACATGATATTATGAAAATTTGTAACTCAGCCTTATATTGTCTTTAGAAAATAAAATTAAGAGAATCCTTTTGTTAATATATGATGAATACCCAAGTATGAACAATTTGTAATGTATATTTTATGAATTAATATTCACTAGAACCGAATTTGTTCTTTATTTGCAATTTTCCATTGAAATTTTGTTTTGTTTTAGTATGTTAATGCATTAAGTTGGCACTTAATGTGTTTAATTTTGTTCACAAGCTGGTTGGATGTAATAATTTTGGGCTATACA